TTGAAGGATCCTCCAACATCTCTCCATGTTTATGTATTAAAAATCTGGTTAACTGCATTCTATGAGCATCTCAGTATCTTTTCTTTATGATGAGACCTGCTTAATTTATTACTTTTTATGTAATACAACTGACCTAAAAAAGGTTACCATAATCAAGGCCTGAAGGAGGACAGTTGCTGTTGGTAATTGAAAATGAAAAAGATACTGAATGTCCCAGACACTTTCTATTACAGCATCTTTCATCTCCTGCTAGGATCCCTGAAATGTACCTCTTGTTTGTGTTCCAAGCAGTAGCAATCAAAGTGGGGGGAGGGACAGGCAAACTGGGATAAACAAGCTGTAGAGGCAATTTTTGTTTTGATCAGATTCTGTTGTCTATATGAAATGGATTCATTTCTCTGGGGCACTCAGTTGCATTGCCCAGGAGGGTAAAAGCTGATAGGATAATACCAGTTCCACACCACATACATCAGAGTAACAAATGTCTGTCATTCCTCTCCCTCTTCCCAAATACATCACACACACACACACACACACACACACACACGCAACTTGCACCACTCACTGCACACAGTCCTATATTCATACTGTATGCACATATCCTGCATACTCATGATATTAAATTAATTAATAATGTCTATCAAACATACTTTTAGTGTTTTGGAAGCAGATCTGACAGATGATGCTGCTGCTTGAATGAAGCAATATTGAGAGCTACAACTTTGATTTCTGTTTTTATCTCTCTGTGTCATGGATCAAACCTGCCATTGCATCTAATGCTAATCTGTGCTGATATGGTGACATAACCTAAGATTTCTCGTATGAATGTTTTGTATTACAAAATAATAAGGTTGAAAAGACAAAACGTAAGGCAAGCACTTTAAATGTTCACTATTTTTTGATCTACTTTTGGGTTTTGCTTTCTTCATCTTCTTCCTTTGTCTCTCACTCAATTCTTAATCATTTTCGTTGAGCATTGTTTAATTGACTAGCATCCTGCCTATTGATAAAAAGTTCCCATGATGCCACAGGGGTTTCTCCAAAGTAATATCACCAAAGGGTTATTATCATTGATAGTAATGAACTTGAAAGAGATTTCACTTAAGAATCAGCCACAGGTACCTTTAGATCCCATTACAAAAAACAACCCTGAAGGGAAAGTAAGAGAAGTAATGTTTAGTGTCAGGTCAATTAATTTCCCTTTCAGAGTAATCATTTCTTATAAAAAATAACAATACTGTTATGTGTTAATTAGTTCTGATGGTGTCTCAGAGAGTTAAACAAGGAGTTAGGACATTTTATAAGTTAGACAAGGAGTTAGAACATTCTGTAGTCATTTTAATAGTGAAAAAGCCAAGGCAAAAGTCATTCAAAAAATTAAGTGACTAACAAAATATCCTCTTATGACATATTTGTTTGTGTCTTGCCCATTTTCTATTGGGTTCCCTGCCTCTCCTCTGTTATTTTGCATATTTGTTTCTTTTTATTCAGTGCAGGAGTCAGTAATATATATCACAAATATCTTCTTCCACTCTGGCTTATTTTTTACTTTCTTAATGTTAAGTGTGTTTCCATAAATCAATGATGCTAACTTTAGTGTTGTCCAGATTATCAGTCCCTTCCCTGATGGTTATTGTTTTGTTTTTCCTGTGTAAGAAATTTTTGCCTAATGATGTGAAGGTTTTTTTCCAAGTTACTTTTCACACTCAGTTCTAAAATTTACCTGGAATTGATTTTTGAGTATGGTGAAAACTATTCCTTCAGTGTAGGTCTACTGTTTTTGTCCCTGAACAAATTATGATTCTTTTTACCTGAAATTATTTTATTTCAAATTCAAATTTGAAAGACACTTTTGTTTGGTATGGAATTTTGCACTGGTGATCTTTCATTTAGCACTTTGAAGATGCCATTGCATTGTTTTTGCCTTCCATTATTTTTGCTGAGAAGGCGTCTGTTAAGTCCTGTCGTTGCTATTTTGATGTACGCTAATTTTATATTTTTTCTTTAACATTGGTTTTCAGCAGTTTTACAATGACTGGCCTGAGTGAAATTTGCTTTGCATTAATTCTGCTTGGAGATCAGAGCACTTTTAAAACAGTGGTTTGATATCCCATTAATTTGGGGAAATTAGCCATTATATCTTAAATATTGCTTTTGCCACATTACACATTGGATAGACCCTATCTCATATGTCTACTAACTCTTTTCTATATTTTTCATCTGTACTTTATATTTTCTTCCAATCTAGTTTTCAGTTTACTAATCCCTTCTTTGGCTGTGTCTAATGGCTGCCAAATGCACCTACTGGGTTAATAACTTCAATTATAGTATATTTTCCAGTTCTGGAATTTACATCTGATATTTTAAATAGTGTCTAGTTATCTGACAAACTTTTTTGCCATGGAAATTCCCCAAATTGGCATCTAATTCTTAAACATATTAATCACTATTTTAAAATTGTCTATGATATCTAGATCTCTAACATGTCTCTATATGTTGTCTTATTCTCTTGGTTTTCAGTGATTAGTTCTCATTCTTCTGGAATGCCAGGTAATTTTTTATTGAATGCTGGACACTGTGTGTGAATAACTGTAGAGATAGCTTGAGGCTCTGGGTGGTTTTATCTCATTTTGGAAAGGATTTATTTTTGCTTCTGACAGGCCAGTAGGATTGAGCAGAGCACTGCCATATAATCAGGAATTGAAATGATTAAAAACTGGACTTCAATTTTTTTAAGAGCTGGTCTATATCAAGTTCATCCTTGCCCCCAGAATATAGCCCTTCAGGTGCCTACAGAAGACTTGAGATACTTTTCTAGGCACCTCTTCCTTTGTTAGCGCTGATCTCCAAGTTTTGCCCCTCCCACCCCTCAGGCCTCATAAGACATCTGGAGGCTCTGTTCAACTTGGCACATGTGGAATGTCAGATTCAGCATTTTATACCTCCTCAAGCTTGTGCTGTATTGATGGCTCTCTACTGAGTGAAAATAATTTCTTAAATAATCTCTCCAGTGTTTCTAACTGTTATTGGTAGAAGGGTTAGTCTACATCATGATAATTCACCTTAGGCTGAAATCCCTTTCTCAGTGTAATTTCAATTTGCATTTCTTTCTGAGCAAAGTGAATCATCTTTCACATGACTACAGGCCATTTTTATTATTTTTTTTTATGAACTGTCTGTTAAATTTCTTGCTCAACTTTCTACCCAGTTTTTGATCTTCTTAATCTGTTCTTTAGAAGTACTTTAAATGTTAAAGATATTAACCCTTCATCTATAATAAAAGGTATAAGTATTTTTCCTCAATTTATAATATTTTTCTTCTAAATATTTCTTATGGTATTTTTTCCATCCAAAAATTTATTATGTTTATATAAAATCAAATATTTCCATTTTTTCCTTGTTCTATTTTGAAGCATAATTAACCAAGATTTCCTGCTCTGAGGCTTAGAGAAATCCATCAGTGATTTCATCTGTAATTGTGCCTAGAGGAATGTGTTGATGAGAAATTGAAAATGGTCCACTTTCTAGAATTGGTGGAGTGAGAAAGAATATGATATGGTTTTAGATCCAGTTGGAAGGTTCAAGTTTTATTTTCCCTTTCCCAACCTCATCCTCAAGAACTAATGAAAACAACTTATTGGCACAGTTACTTTCACTTGTAGGCTTGGGATCAATCAGTCATTTCTTTTCTTCTGTTATCCTTTTCCTGATTTCTCTCATCTACTTTCATCTCATCAAAGTTACGTCTACATTGACATCTCGCAAATACCCACATGACTATTCCCAGTTCGCTTCCTCGGGACTGGATGCAAAAACTTGTTTGGCATCTCCAGTTATGTGGCTCTGCACTTCGGACTTCAAATCTAAAATGGCTTTCTTCATCTTCCCCCACTCTGCTTCTTTTATATGTCTTCAAGTACTGACCTTCCTACCATCCATCCACCAGGGTTCAGAGATTGGTCATCTTTGAGTCATACTTCATGATTGTCAGCTTCAGTAAATCATTGCCAAGAGTGCAAGTTCTGTCTTTGAAGATACCTTCCTTTGAAGAGATTACAAACTGGATCTTTACCATCCTTGCTTCATCCTCACTAACAGCATACCAAATTTAACATGCTCCGAGCTCAATAAGTACTCATGTAATGAAAATGCACCCAACCTTCCACTTTAAAAAAGTATAGAAATAATAAAAATTTTGAAGTTATGGATTGCCAGACCTCCATCTGTATCTATATTTCTAAATGTCCTTGGTCTTCAAGCTGTGAAAATGTAATAGATATTTATCTCAGATGGAACATGTTATTGTCCTTTAGGCTATCTGGGAAATTTCTCACAATAAGAAAAAACAACCCAGTTACTACTACACTGAAGCATGTTGTATAGCTTCAGCCACAGCAAATGGATGACAAGCCATCTGAAGCTGTGCAAAATAGAGGTCAATCACAACAGAAATTAACTAAAGACTTGATTCTCAGCAATTCAAAATGGCAGCATCTGAGACCGTCTCCTAGGAAAGCATCTAAGCCATTCATTTTGTGTTTAAACAAAAGGACCTCACTGCCAGGGAAATGAATCTTTAGCTTTCAGGCATGCCTAAGGCAAAACAGGTTTTTTCTTTCCCTTTTCTCTTCAAAGATTAAGCTACATAAACTTACATACACACAAACACACACACACACGCAAACATTTCCCTAAATTTAAATTGTAGGTTGTTCTGATTAAACCAAGTTTTCCTGCTTTCATGCTACCAGATTTTTAATTTGAGAAATTGTGTGTGTATGTATGTATGCGATTATCTCACAAATTAAAGAGAATTTAGATGACAGCGCTAAAGAATTCAGGCAGCTTAACCCACTATTTCCTCCCTTAACCTTTTCTGCAAAAGAAGTTGAATCCTGGGAGTACTTTTAAATTTAAGAGGGCAATGGAGGGTGACAGAAAAATTGGCAGTCAGGCTGTTCTAATTCTTTATTAATCAAGGACTATCTTCTTTCTTTCAGCTCAAGGCGAGGACACACCTAGAGTTCCTGTGCAAAGTGAAGGCCCTGGCTACACAGAAAACTCTCCAAGTCCTGATGGTAAGTTCTGAGCTATTTGAGCTCATGCAAACTACAAATCTGACACACTTTCTGTATGTACTCTAGGATTAAAGGAGCTATCTATCCTATGAAGCAACATGTTCAGTTAGAACAAGGTAAAGTTCAAAAACCATGTTCTACTAGGAACTAATAAAATTGGCAGACTTTAAAAAAAAAAAACTGATGCTAGCTGTTTTAGAACACTATGTGCTTCAGGTTAATCACACCTTGTAATTTGGAGGCCATAGTGGGTAATTCCAAGGGTAAACTGGACTGAAGTTCAACTGGTGAACTTTATGGGAGTATCACTTACTTCCACAAAAAGTACTTGCCCAAAGTTATCCCTGCTCTCTAGGGACTCAGGGAAACATTCAGGAGAGCTCCAACTTGAGTTTGGGCTAAGGTTGTCTTGGACCTTCATCACTTTACCTCACTATATCACTTCAGATGGCTTAGCCAAAAACGCAGTGGATCTTTAAAAGCACCTTAGAAATCAGTTTACAAAAGTCTGTCTTTATTCACATCTCATTTTGAAGGCATCTGAATACTCTGAGCCTGAGGAATATAAATATACCCTCTTCTTGTATAATGATGCTGGGAATGCTTTGAAATATTACTTGCATTCAAAAAACAGTTATTTGGGAATATATGATTTAATAAATATTTGATTCCACCATCCCCCAGAGCTCAGGAGAACCAAAATTGGTTGATGATCAACCGTTCATATATACCTTGCTATTTGGTTCATTTTAGCCAAAGACAAAAAGCAACTTACTTCGAATTGATAATGACCTTGGCAAAAATTCAACTGGTAAACGTTATTTGGTGAATTTACTTGGTGGTTGTAAACAGAGTTTTCTGTCCTAGGTAGTCCACCCTGCTAGAAGCTTTTCATCACCTGAATTTCCTCCCTTAATCATAAGCCCTTCCATACAAACCAATGTTTTTTAACTCATGGGTTGCATTACATACGAGAATAATGTTTTTCAACCTCAGATCCATTAAAGGCTACCACATGTTAGTCATGCTCAGTTGAATGAAACCCGCCGCAGCCTGGTTGTGACATTATAGACATGGTTCTTAACTAGTTCTTTACAAAACATGTTCTGAAGCATAGCAAGCCCATACGATGCTCATTGAATAAAAGGGAAATAAACATGGAAAATACTAAGATTTACTCCTCACTCTGAGATTCTCCATGCATATTATAGGCTCTCAGAAAGCTCAGCTGTAAAGAAATTTATCAACAATTTTTACCATTGCTTTTCCCAAACTTATTTGATCATGGGAAGCTATTTATTAATAGGTTTCAGGACCAGTGAACCTTGGGATGGAGGAAGAAACAGAGAAGGGGTGCTCTCCTATATTTTATTCTGTACACTACCTCATGAAGATGGGCGACCTTAGAGTAATTTTGTAGACCAAGCTGGAAAGTACATGCATTATTCTCCTTACATATGTAGATGCTACAACTGGGGCTTAGAAAAAGAAACCCAGAAACGCAGGATATTTGGCAGATGGAACGGAAACCTGCTTTCTTTTTTTTCCCTCTAAAAATTTCGTTTTAATTTTTTTAAATTTTTTATTGTTATGTTAATCACCATACATTACATCATTAGTTTTTGATGTAGTGTTCCATGATTCATTGTTTGTGCATAACACCCAGTGCTCCACGCAGAACGTGCCCTCTTTAATACCCATCACCAGGCTAACCTATCCTCCCACCCCTCTCCCTCTAGAATCCTCAGTTTGTTTTTCAGAGTCCATCATCTCTCATGGTTCAACTCCCCCTCCGATTTCCCCCTCTTCGTTCCTCTCCTCCTGCTATCTTCTTTTTTTTTTTCTTAACATATATTGCATTATTTGTTTCAGAAGTACAGATCTGTGATTCAACAGTCTTGCACAATTCACAGCGCTCACCATAGCACATACGCTCCCCAATGTCTATCACCTTCCCACCCCCCACCAGTCCAGCAACGCTCAGTTTGTTTCCTGAGGTTAAGAATTCCTCATATCAGTGAGGTCATATGATACATGGCTTTCTCTGATTGACTTATTTCACTCAGCATAACACCCTCCAGTTCCATCCATGTCACTGCAAATGGCAAGATCTCATTCCTTTTGATGGCTGCATAATATTCCATTGTGTATATATACCACTTCTTCTTTATCCATTCATCTGCTGATGGACATCTTGGCTCTTTCCACAGTTTGGCTATTGTGGACATTGCTGCTATAAACATCAGGGTGCACGTACCCCTTCGGATCCCTACATTTGTATCTTTGGGGTAAATACCCAGTAGTGCAATTTGCTGGATCATATGGTAGCTCTATTTTCAACTTTTTGAGGAAACTCCATACTGTTTTCCAGAGTGGCTGCACCAGCTTGCATTCCCGCCAACAGTGTAGGAGGGTTCCCCTTTCTCCGCATCCCTGCCAACATCTATCGTTTCCTGACTTGTTAATTTTAGCTATTCTGACTGGTGTGAGGTGGTATCTCACTGAGGTTTTGATTTGGATTTCCCTGATGCCGAGCGATGTTGAGCACTTTTTCATGTGTCTGATGCCCATTTGGATGTCTTCTTTGGAAAAATGTCTGTTCCTGTCTTCTGACCATTTCTTGATTGGATCTTGGGTGTTGAGTTTGAAAGTTCTTTATAGATTTTGGATACGAGCCCTTTAACTGGTATCTCATTTGCTAGTATCTTCTCCCATTCTGTCGGTTGTCTTTTGGTTTTGTTGACTGTTTCTTTTGGTGTGCAAAAGCTTTTTATCTTGATGAAGTCCCGGTAGTTCATTTTTGCCCTTGCTTTCCTTGCCTTTAGTGATGTTTCTAGGAAGAAGTTGCTGTGGTTGAGGTTGAAGAGGATGCTGCCTCTGTTCTCCTTTAGGATTTTGATGGACTCCTGTCACACATTTAGGTCTTTCAACAATTTTGAGTCTATTTTTGTGTGTGGTGTAAGGAAATGGTCCAGTTTCATTCTTCTGCATGTGGCTGTCCAATTTTCCCAACACCATTTGTTGAAGAGACTGTCTTTTTCCATTAGACATTCTTCCTGCTTTGTCGAAGATTAGGTGACCATAGAGTGGAGGGTCCATTTCTGGGCTCTCGATTCTGTTCCATTGATCTATGTGTCTCTTTTTGTGCCAGTACCATACTGTCTTGATGATGACAGCTTTGTAATAGAGCTTGAAGTCGGGGATTGTGATGCCACCAGCTTTGCTTTTCTTTTTCAACATTCCTCTGGCTATTCGGGGTCTTTTCTAGTTCCAAACAAATTTTAGGATTCTTTCTTCCATTTCTTTGAAAAAAGGGGATGGTATTTTGATGGGGATTGCACTGAATGTGTAGATTGCTCTAGGTAGCATTGACATCTTCACAATGTTGGTTCTTCCAATCCATGAGCATGGGACATTTTTCCATTTCTTTGTGTCTTCCTCAATTTCTTTCATGAGTATTTTATAGTTTTCTGAGTACAGATCCTTTGCCTCTTTGGTTAGATTTATTCCTAGGTATCTTATGGTTTTGGGTGCAATTGTAAATGGGATAGACTCCTTAATTTCTCGTTCTTCTGTCTTGTTGTTGGTGTATAGGAATGCCACTGATTTCTGTGCATTGATTTTATATCCTGCCACTTTACTGGATTCCTGTATGAGTTCTAGAGGTGTTGGGGTGGAGTCTTTTGGGTTTTCCACGTAAAGTATCATATCATCTGCAAAGAGTGAGAGTTTGACTTCTTCTTTGCCAATTTGGATGCCTTTGATTTCTTTTTGTTGTCTGATTGCTGTGGCTAGGACTTCTAATACTATTTGAATAGAGGTGGTGATAGTGGACATCCCTGCCACGTTCCTGACCTTAGGGGGAAAGCTCTCAGTTTCTCCCCATTGAGAATGATATTCACTGTAGGTTTTTCATAGATGGCTTTTATATTGAGGTATGTACCCTCTATCCCTATACTCTGAAGAGTATTGATCGGGAAAGGATGCTGTACTTTGTCAAATGCTTTTTCTGCATCTATTGAGAGGATCATATGATTCCTGTTCTTTCTTTTGTTAATGTATTGTATCATGTTGATTGATTTGCGGATGTTGAACCAACCTTGCAGCCCAGGGATAAATCCCACTTCGTTGTGGTGAATAACCCTTTTAATGTACTGTTGGATCCTATTGTGTAGTATTTGGTGAGAATTTTAGCATCCATGTTCATCAAGGATATTGGTCTATAATTCTTTTTGATAGGGTCTTTGTCTGGTTTTGGGATCAAGGTAATGGTGGCCTTGTAAAATGAGTTTGGAAGTTTTCCTTCCATTTCTATTTTTTGGAAGAGTTTCAGAAGAATAGGTATTAATTCTTCTTTAAATGTTTGATAGAATTCCCCTGGGAAGCCATCAGGCCCTGGGCTTTTGTTTGTTGGGAGATTTTTGATGACTGGTTCAATTTCCTTAGTGTTTTATAGGTCTGTTCAGGTTTTCTATTTCTTCCTGGTTCAGTTTTTGTAGTTGATACATCTCTAGGAATGCATCCATTTCTTCCAGGTTATCTAATTTGCTGGCATAGAGTTGCTCATAAGATGTTCTTATAATTGTTTGTATTTCTTTGGTGTTGGTTGTGATCTCTCCTCTTTCATTCATGATTTTGTTGAATTGGGTCATTTCTCTCTTCTTTTTGATAAGTCTGGCCAGGGGTTTATCAATCTTGTTAATTCTTTCAAAGAACCAGCTCCTAGTTTCGTTGATCTGTTCTACTGTTCTTTTGGTTTCTAGTTCATTGATTTCTGCTCTGATCTTTATTTCTCTTCTCCGGCTGGGGTTAGGCTTGATTTGCTGTTTTTCCTGTAGTTCCTTTAGGTGTAGGGTTAGGTTGTGTATTTAAGACCTTTCTAGTTTCTTGAGAAAGGCTTGTATTGCTATATACTTTCCTCTTAGGACTGCGTTTGCTGCATCCCAAAGATTTTGAACAGTTGTGTTTTCATTTTCATTGGTTTCCATGAATTTTTTAAATTCTTCTTTAATTTCCTGGTTGACCCATTCATTCTTTAGTAGGATGCTCTTTAGCGTCCATGTATTTGAGTTCTTTCCAACTTTCCTCTTGTGATTGAGTTCTAGTTTCAAAGCATTGTGGTCTGAAAATATGCAGGGAATGATCCGAATCTTTTGGTACCGGTTGAGACATGATTTGTGACCTAGGATGTGATCTATTCTGGAGAATATTCCATGGGCACTAGAGAAGAATGTGTATTCCGTTGCTTTGGGATGGAATGTTCTGAATATGTCTGTGAAGTCCATTTGGTCCAGTGTGTCATTTAAAGTCTTTATTTCCTTGTTGATCTTTTGCTTAGAGGATCTGTCCATTTCAGTCAGGGGGGTGTTAAAGTCCCCACTAGTATTGTATTGTTGTCGATGTGTTTCTTTGTTTTTGTTATTAATTGGCTTATATAAGTGGCTGCTCCCCTGTTAGGGGCATAGATATTTACAATTGTTAGATCTTCTTGTTGGATAGACCCTTTAAGTAGGATATAGTGTCCTTCCTCATCTCTTATTACAGTCTTTGGTTTAAAATCTAATTTGTCTGATAGAAGGATTGCCACCCCAGCTTTCTTTTGGTGTCCATTAGCATGGTAAATCGTTTTCCACCCCCTCACTTTCAATCTGGGGGTGTCTTTGGGTCTAAAATGAGTCTCTTGTAGACAGCATATTGATGGGTCTTGTTTGTGAATCCAATCTGATAGATTGTGTCTTTGATTGGGGCAGTTAGCCCATTTACATTCAGGGTAACTATCGAAAGATATGAATTTAGTGCCATTGTATTGCCTGTAAGGTGACTGTTACTGTATATTGTCTGTGTTCCTTTCTGGTCTATGCTGCTTTTAGGCTCTCTCTTTGCTTAGAGGACCCCTTTCAATATTTCTTGTAGGGCTGCTTTCGTGTTTGCAAATTCCTTTAGTTTTTGTTTGTCCTGGAAGCTTTTTAGCTCTCCTTCTATTTTCAATGACAGCCTAGCTGGATATAGTATTCTTGGCTGCATATTTTTCTCATTTAGTGCTCTGAAGATATCATGCCAGTCCTTTCTGGCCTGCCAGGTCTCTGTGGATAGGTCTGTTGTCAATCTTATGTTTCTACCATTGTAGGTTACAGGTCTCTTCTCCCCAGCTGCTTTCAGGATTTTCTCTTTGTCTCTGAGACTCATAAGTTTTACTATTAGATGTCGGGGTGCTGACCTATTTTAATTGATTTTGAGAGGGGTTCTCTGCTTCCTGGATTTTGATGCCTGTTTCCTTCCCCAAATTAGAGAAGTTTTCTGCTATAATTTGTGGAGACCTGCTTTTAAAACCTTCCTCCTTGAGAAAAAGTTGGGTGGTTTGCCCTTCAATGTCATTTCCTCTTCAAACCTCTTTGGAGTGTGAAAACCAGCATCTGCCACTATTTTGCTTTAATCGAATTTTCTTCTTTGAGAAAAAGAGCTTTGGACTGTTGATTTTGTGCAATAAATGAAGAAAACCCAAGCAAGAACAAACAGAGGTTACTTTTTCAGGTACGATAGCCAGGATGTCAGCCATTATCACTTGTGTTGTTGACTCAAAGGCAGGTAGGGAAGTGGGAAACCTTTATAGTTAAGAAAAGACTTCAAGCATCCTCTGACTGTAGGTCCTTGGTTGGCATGGGGAAGCTGGATTTGGGTAAACTTGAAGTGGGTGACTGGTTGGGAGCATATTTGGCCTTCTCTGGTCCTGCATTGGAATCATGAGGCAAACTAGAGTGAAGCTGGCAGTCACCACCCAAGTCCTGACCATCCTAAGCTGATTGCTACAAAGGCTGTTGTTGGGGTGCCCAGGCTGGTTGCTGCAGAGGTTTTTTCATCAGTTATATTGTTATGTATGGTCTGACCATTGTTCCCTTTGTATATTGTCTCTCCATTTATAATATGGGCTTTGATGCTTTAAAAATATCCATCTAATTGAACGTACTGACCGTTGAAAATTTCCAGAGTGACTGCTATGCCTGCTCTGGAATACTTCTGGACAATGGCATTAATGATGCATTCTGTTTTATGCAAATGCTTGCATAGAACAATACACACAATTAAAGTAAAAGCACATGTTTTTATCATTGCTGTGTGATCTGGTGGGATGTTTTGCTTTTCTATTGCAGGCATCCACTGCTGCTGCATGCACCTACTGGCAAGTTTACAGAGTCTGTTTTGAAATTCAGACTTGAAAAGCTAGCAAACCAAAGAGGCCTACTGACATTGCCATTTCAGAGAGAGTTGCTTACCTCTCTACATGGCAGTGATCTGTTTTGCTTTGTTTTCTTTTTATTTTCTTAGACATCTACTAAGGCCTTTGGATTTACTTCAGGATGGTAACAAATACACCCAAATGTCAACCCAAAAATCTGGTATAAAATGACAACTAAGCTTCCACAGTTGTTTAAGAGGCAATTCTTCCCTCCCTGGCCCCTGCCGGTAAAAATCTACAAGAATTATTCCCCCAAATCTTAAATGAATACAAATGAACTGAAAAGAGGTATAAGAGAGGAGATCAGGAATGTAACAACTCACAGACCATTTTAATGTGTTCGAGAGATTTGGGTTTAATAAAGATTTAACCTTTTTTTTGTTTTCCTTTCTGGTTACAGTTGAAATGAATAGTCAGGTTGACAGTGTAAATGACCCAACAGAGAGTCAGCAAGAAGATTAACTAATAGGTAAGTTGCCCTTGTAGTGGGATTTTCAACTGATTAAACCAGCCATGGAAAGTGTTTGTAAATGGCATATTGGATTTCCCTCGGTTCTGCCAAGTCCCACAGTATGGCTCGGGCTAAACTTTAAAAATCCTCATACCAAATGACACAGTAGAAGGAGCCAAGATAACCGCAAGAAGCCTACCATCCTTTGAGGGGAAAAGATAAGCCACAGCATATTCAAATGTGCAGTTCCCTGGTTTTCTGAGTTTTGACAACAGGAAAAAAATGTTTCCATCCATCTAACCTCCCAACCTCCTGGAGGAATCAAATTATTTCAGCACCCCCAAGCTGATTGTGAAGCATTGCTTTTCCAGAAGCTACCTGCTGAGTTGTTTAGTATATCTGTTTTTAAGCATAACACAAAATCTCTGCCCTGGAGAATGCAGAAAGGCACTTGGGTGTGTTTAGGCAGAAAGAAGCCTGATTTGTGTCATATGCTGTCACACCACGACCTGTGGACCTGTGTGTCTGCACAGGATTTGTTGAGTTGAATGAGCCTCAGGGAACTCCTCAAGAAAATCATAGTCTGGGTCAGATCACGTTTAAGAGTTTTTCCAAACCAACATTCTAAATCTCTCAGCAGAGACTGAAATTTATCTAAAATGATGAGCAGTCTATAACCCCTTTCCATATCTTGAGGGCTGGTGAGAAGGATTAGAGGAGAGAAGTTAAGCTCACTATTCAGATTCCTAGCTGAAAATACTAACTGGGAAAAATCCTATGGGATAAATGAATGGTGGGTCATCCAAAGTAAAACACAATTGTGCTAGCACCATTGCCTCTCAGCACCTTCTTGCACTCCCTGCATCTTCGTGGTAGGTCTCTGCACTCACCCAGAAGGCCATGTTGCGCCAGACTCTTGAGCTCCAGCATCACAGCAGAACAAAGTTTGAGAATATATGAAAGTAGGCACCTGTTCTTCCCATCATGGTCTTGAACATCATTTGAAACTAAATATAATAGCATTTGTGTAACACACGTATAGCATAGGACTGCTAAAAAAAATAAAACTCATACAAATGTGGTCTTACATATTTTCTACACTTCCTCTTTTTTTTAACTTTGTTCGTGTATTTAAAATTATCCTGCTAAGCTGCAGAAATGATACAGTAGAGAAGTTTCCATTAAAAAGTAATGAAGTAAGACTAAACCTGAACAATTTAAATGCAAGTTCCTCAGTGTTGCCTTACCTTTTGCCCTTTTGTTGCCAACAAACTATAGACTTCTTGTCTAGAATTTTTCTTACAGACACTATGATTTTCCTGTGTGATCAATATCTAAATAAAGTACCCAGATAAATGTTTTCCTTGGTTAATGTCAAAATTTTTTCCTTGACCATAAACATGAATCAATACTTTTACCCAAATGAATAAGTTGTCAAAACTTAAAGTTCAAGATTAGTTTGAGGAAACTCAGTTCCAGGAACTAGAAGTGACTTGCACAGGGTCACTTGGATGATCAATGGAAGTTCAAACACTCCCAGGACAAAATTATTTGATGACACCCTACTACTCCCTAAACAATAGTGAGTTGCTAAACACAGTTGTCATAGAGAACAGTATGACCCAAGGAAATTCAGTGATTCCCACAGAAATATTTACACAGCTGAATTTGTAGAGGTTATGTGGTGGTTCAAAAGGAAGAAGGAGCCTTTAGTTCTGTGCATCACACCTTCAAGGAAATTAAAGAAATATAGTGAAATCAAGTTAGAATTACAGAGTTCCAAGATATAATGCAAGAATATTTAGTGTTGTATAATTTATAATTGTAAAAAATCAGAACTATCATAAATGACAATAGGGGAATGACTCAATGAATCAATAGAACACTCTGCAAATGTAAAAATAATTTTTCGACAGGGATCTGAGGTCATGTAAAAGTAGTTATAGAATCTGCACCGTTGGTACTAGAGAAACATGGCAGGCCAAGGGTGGCAGTTACCAAGGTACACTTTAAGAGGATTTGTAACTTCCACTTTTACCCTCTCAGAATGCTTGCCTTTGGAATCCAACAATCCTGTAAGAAGCTCAAGCTCTACTATAGAATGAGAAAGGCCTTAGGGAGAGAGATTCTGGAAACTGAGTGGCCATTTTGGATGTTCTGGCCCCAGTGGATACCTTGAGCAGATAAACTGCCCAGCTGAGCCCAAGCCTATAAAATCATGAAACATAATAAGCCATTTTGCTTTTAGCCACTAAGTTTTGGGGTGGCTTGTGATGTAGCAACAGGTAACTGAAAAGGTGGGGTAATGCAGAACATCTCCCAATACAAATGTTTAGAAATGAGAGATAAATTATAACAAAAAAAAAAAAGTTTAAATACACAGCTCAACTGACATGAAAGCAAAGGTGCCAGAAAAAAGAGGAATTTGAAAGCCAAAGCAATACTGTGGTGAGCTGAAGATGGAGTTTCCCTGAGGGCTGCAGATTGGTCGTTGATGCTCAGACAGGCCCTATGGCTAGATCCTTGCATTCTAATGCCCACCTGGGACCTGGAGCCAGTCAAGGGGAGATGTTAGAACTGATACCTTTACATAGATAAATCTGGGATTTCTAGCTCAAGAAGTTAACAAGGAGACTTTTGTCTGCCCAGAGTGCTGTGTGGGGAAGGAAAAAGCCTCCTATGACAAGTAGAAAATACAAATGCACCATGAATTTGATATGCAAACTTATGCCACCCAAAGTTAGACAGCAATACACAGACTGTATATTTAATAGTTGATTATAGACCAGTATTACTCCTGCTATAGATAACAAATGGAAATGTGAACCTATCAGTTGGAATTCCCACAGAAGAAAAAAAATTCTCTGAAGTTGAATTCACAATTTTAAGATTTACAAAACACACAAGGAAGTAATCCACCATGAGTGAGAATTGGTGGGTGAAATGACAGGATGATTAGCGCTATGAAAACTTGAGAGAGTAGAAAATTCTGAAGATTTTATAGAATATGTACATTTAAATGACAAAAAAGCAGATATAAAACTGTAAGAAAAGGACAACACTATGAAAAATTAAGAACAATTTGGGAAAAGCTAATAAACATATAGTGATATGAATGACACATGAGGAGACATGAGGGCTGGAAGGAGAATGACCAACGTGTTTGTCTTCAGTACACGTTCTGAAAGGAGACAGTAGATAGTATTTGAAAAATAGTGGCTGAGGATTTATCAGAAATTGATAGAAATCATGAGTTTTTAGTTAAAAGAAGAATAATAAGTCACAAGGACATGTTTAAAATAAACCCAACACAGGCATTGCAGAATACTAGAGACAATGAGAAAAAAAGTAAAACAATTAGAGGGAAAGGAGAGTTAACCTAAAAAGAAATAAGTATGGCGTGGACAGCAGGCTTCCCAACATCAGGAATTTAGTTCAGAAGACAGTAGAATAATTCTGAGTCTTCAAAACTTGAGTAAAAACAATTGTCAGTATAGAGTTCTATACTAGTTTCACTATCATTTAGGAAGATAATAACTGCCATTTTTCAGGAAAAATTTTGATAGTCAAAGAAGATATTCGTAGGCTTGTTTGAGGGGTACGAAACATATAAATGACTGTTAAGAAGATAATTCCTTGCTAAATCTATGAAATCTACGATTTTTCATCTAACAAATGGTTTCTCCTTGTCTTTGGCAGGGGCACAAGATAAAGCAAAGGAACAAAGAAATGGAAGTCAATCACGGTCTTCGGCATTGCAGGCCTCTCCTGGCCCTGGGGGGGGGTGGGTGTAGGAAGACAGTAGTGAAAGTTGTAGAGGAGGGGGGTGTGGGGGGGGCAAGTCCCACAGAAGGACAGGGAATCCTTTGCTCTAATTTCTCCAGCTGCATTGTGTTCTGTTTACCTGCAGAAAAAGAAAGAAAAAAAAAGTTTCCTTGAACTTGGTGAGGGGCCCCACGTTAATGCATCTTTCAGGCACTATGCCTGTAATTTCTGTTTTTTTCTCTCATGACTTTTCCCAGGGTCACCGTGGCACGGTGTAACACTCACATGTGTATCCTGGCCCCTGTCTGCTTTCTCGATTATCTCACAGAGCTGGTCGATACAGTGGTTTCTTCAAAGAAAGAGACAGATGATGATCCTTTGATATACTGCAGGCTAAATTTCAGGAATCCTCAAGCCCAATATCAGTATAATCCCCAGACAAAGGAGGCAGGAAAGGAAAATGGGCAAAATGCTCAGAAATAACTTGGAAAAAGGTCAGGACAGTGAATTGAAAATGGTATTTTATTCAGAGATTCCCAGGGTACAGTTCTGTTCCAGGTGGTTAATGAGGAATGTGGAAGGAGGATTTCATCCAGAGCAGAATGTAGAGGCGTTACCATGAAGACGGGTGCTAGCAGCCATTGGGGGCTTTCCCTTCCCAGCCAGGACTGCAGGTGCATTCTTCGACCCTGACCTTCCACACAGCTCACCTGGTTTATGAGATCTTTATTGTGTGCTTCGGCATAGAGCCCACCAAGTGAGATGTGACTCTTAATGACACAGTTGGAAGGGATGACACTCTTCAAGTGTTTTAGTTAAGAGAGGGGGCTGCTACATTTAGAATCCAAACATATGCCTATGAATATTAAAAGTTCTACTTGAAATCTCTCGTTTTATATACGCTTTTCATAAGAGAACCTTTTGTCTTTACCCAAGGTTTGAGGGCCCACAGAAAGATTCTCATTTGAAGTTAGAGGCAAGTGGAGGTCTTGCTTACAGTTCTGGCTTGCTTTTAAATAGTCTGCTTTGTTCATGCCAAATCCAAAACTACTTTGATAGCTCATCCCCTCTCCCAGAAATCCCTTGATTATGGCCTTGAAGGGGAGAAGCAGCATTACTAAGCCAAGGTTCCAGTGGTACAGTGGGCACAAGGGATGAGGGGCCAAGGAGAAAGTCAGAAGTCGTCACAAATGTCTGTCCCGGAGACAACATCAGCAGCGATCCTCATGAGGCAGAATGCCCGCTTCCCACGCTTCCCACAGCTCCCCGAGGTTCTAAGAACAGTCTATTTTTTTCTGAGGAAACTGATATCGCTTCTTGCGTATCTTGTCAAATCCACCTTCCTTATAAGGTCTTTAGAATTGTAAGTTATTTATATATATATAAATATATAAATATATTTTTTAGTGGAAGGAGAAAAGTAATGGATCAAATTGGGTATTTCTAAAATCAAAGGGTGTTCTATTTTCTAAATATTCCATGGAGTTCTTCAGTTTTGCTCTTTCCTCTATGGAAAATTCACCTTCTTCTCTTTCTATGAATTTTGTTTTGGCCTTTCTGAATTTGTTGCCTCTCTGAATGGCTTATTTGGCATATTGGAATCATTAGCAAGTTATATTTCTGCATATGTAATATGTTCTAACATCCTGTATAAAAAAAAAAATGCTTACCAACCTAACAGCAATGATTTTTAAGGGACCTCATGATTTTGGAACATGGCCATTTCTTTCTGCTGTTATTTTACAGCTTGATATGGAAATGGATATGTCCCCTTCTGCCATTACACATCGCTTTCTAGAAAAACAAGGAAAAGTCCCATTTTAAGTGATCTGTGAAATGATGTCATACAAATACTGATAGTTTCTATATTTCATGCCATCTTTATAACTTAATTGAAAGTCGCCATCATTCTGTGAAGGACTGGACAAGAGTAATCTGCTAGGAGCCCATTTTCCTGTGACTCCCACATGTTAGTGCTACTCATGCTCAGTAATGAGTTACAGTTGAAAACAACATGCTGGAGACAAGAGGGATGGGGACTTCTTAATGGACAAAGATGAAAGAGACCTAATGTCCCTGTTAGGACCCGTGGAGATTGGAATTATTTCAGTCGGGTGTTCTCTTTATCATCCACGACAGCCATTTTTATTCCTTCATTTTAAATGTGGGTGGGGTAGGAATGGGGGAAGGAATTCTCTGCCTGAAAACTGCAGGAAAGGAAAGAAATCTTTGAGAACAAAACTAAGAGAATGAGGAGTAAATATCATAGCCCCATTCCTGAATTTGTTTAAACTTTTTTTATGATTAGATTGTGTTTTCATTTTTGCCTCATTATGCCTTTTGGTTGCTGTTTGGTTATAAGATTTTATCCTTAAAACGAACAATGAAGTTACTTTCCATTTCAATAGTAAGATATTAAAAATCTAGCTGTTGGCCAGATCGAAGACACCTCAACACAGGAAACCCCTTTTTTTCGCTGGTGCTGTCATTGAACAGGCTATACAATGGAAAATTTGAAAGGCAGATTGATTCTGCTGCACATGAATCCTGGATGTCAATTTCCAACCTCACTTCTGCCAGGCTGTGTGGCAAGATGGCTTACAGGAGGGAGAGGGGGAGAAAAATAGCCCCATATTAGTCATGTTTGCATACAGAGGATCAAAGTAGGCTCTCAACATAATACAGGTATCCCTGCTTTTTGAAATTGCATTACGCCGCTTTGCTTTTATGAAAGACCTACATTAGTACCTGCTACTGTTAACCTAAAGAAATCCCAAGAGGGCTTTTGCTTTTAGGAAAACTGGAAGCTTAGGAGAATGGCCCCACCCAGCTCCTTCCCTGGGAACTACACTCAAGTGTCTCAGCATCAAGCCACCATAGCTTTGACCTGTGTCTGTGAGCATCTGTATTTTATCTCATTTTATTTTGTGCATCCATTAGCAAGATGTGCCCTGTGGTATCAGAAAAGGGTCTGGGAAGGCTCAAAAATATTTCCATATAAATTAACGGTAATTGTTTCTTTGCATTACACCATTTCGGCTTAAGGATAGGTTTCATAGGAATACTACTTTCCCATAGCAGGAGAAACCTGTAGTCCTAATTAGAAAGGTATTCGTTGTAAGAGAGACAAAGGGGCTTTTCCTCTAGCTAGTAACTATTCAGATGATGGACAGGTCTTCTTTCATAAAAGCTTACAAAGGAGGCATCCAAAATACTGTCTGTGATAGTGGGTCACATATTAGTCACCGCAGCTAATTGTAAATCTTTCTATGAAATCCTGAAAAGCCTCTTTGTGAATTAATACCGTTCTGCTTGATGCACTTGATTCGAAATGACTTTTCTCTGTATGTGGTGCATGTCAGCCTTGCTTTGAAAAATAACAAAGTTAGCAGAATATGTTCAATATATTTTCTTGGGGAATAGGGTTTTTATCATATGATTCATTAAGGATTTGCCTTACCCTGACATTTGTGATATAAAGGAAAATCAGAAAAAAAAGTAATTTTCTTGATCAAGATATGTTTTTACTTAATGCAAATAAATGTAGTCTGTTGCTTGCAAGGAAAAAAAATGTCTTCTGATATCTGGTATAACCTGCTAAATAGAATAATATGTGCCTCTTTTGTTAAAACAGCATTTAAATGCTGGACTGCTTCGAAATCTGTTTGTTTCTTTTCATCTGTGCCATACGCTAAGAAACTTAAACAACTGTTGCCTTCATACTATATTTGTTAGAGCAGAATACGAATAAAATTGGTTTGAGAGGATAAGGTGGAATTATCTGTGTCTTGTGAAATTTGTTTTTTAGCATAAGCAATTAATAACTCACAATGTTCTTTTAATGAGACGTATTTGGTTGCAAATCCTGTATTTAAAATTGCCCCATAAGGCAGCTTTAACTTACCAATAGTCTTCCCTTACTGAGACTGGTCAATGTTTTGGCCATGTTTTTCAAAATTAGGGGTGCCTGGGTGGCTCAGTCAGTTGAGTGACTCTTGGTTTCAGCTCAGGTCATGATCTCAAGGTCATGAGATCGAGCCCCACATGGGTCTCTGCACTCAGCATGAAGTCTGCTTGAGATTCTCTCTCTCTCCCTCTCTCTGCCCCTCCCCCCGCTCATGTACTCTCTTTCTCTCTAAATACATAAATAAAATCTTTAAAAAAATAATTAAACTATAGAGTAGTTTGTACAGACACACGTCCCAATGCAATTTTTTCTCGGAATGCTACTAGATAGTGAGTTACCCTAGCAACAGCCTCTGAAGCGCAAGATAGAAGTTGTTGAGATGAAGATCATGATTCCACGAACATTGATTCATCCTTCAGAACCCACCATCCATTACCGGAATTCTTTTTGAGAATCTTTTATGAGCCAGCCACTGTGCCGGCTATGGGATCACTATAACCATGATCCTCCTCAGTCTATTGTTGATGGAATTATGATGGAATTACACAATTGTTAAAGAGTTTGGCAACAGATCAACAAAAATCGCTATGGGAAAAACTCAATGTTCTTTTGAAAATGGAAATATGTATTCCATCAGATTTAATTCTCTCCATCTCCTCCAGAAGAGATGCTTTCAGGTTTACTGTTCTAGAAGGTAATAATGAAAGCCAATCCCTTTACCCAATAAAGACAGAGACTTAATAGTTAAAGGAGAATATGGTTTTTCTAAAACTGCTTTACCAGACGAGCATTTTTTCAATAATAAATGAAGTTCGATGAGAAAAGAATTATAGTCTTATGCTGCAATGGGCAACCTCAACACAAATGCCTCAGAGTGACAGCAAGGATAATTTGACATGATTCTAGCATTGCCAGATGCATTTTTTTAAATCTACATCCAATTTTCCATCTCTTGGCCTGTCACTCTTATGTTCCTTCCCCACCACTCCTGCCCCTGTGCCTTACTTCATACAAAGGTGTCATTAAACATTGCTTAACTTTACGGGTGG